CTCTGCTCCTACAGTGGCCACATCAGGGGACAGTGGCAAGAAGATAGAGCATGTTCGCTCTAGAGTGTTCACTCAGAGTTGTGGGTGTGGCACAGTTGGTAGATTATTTGACACAGCTATGCACACCAAACAAACACAATCAACAGTCCTACTCATTTTAATATGAAAACCCAGCACAACTGAGGTTTCAACTCTAAAGACAATCAGATTTATGCAGACATTTGCTGATGTTTGATTATCAGTTATTTCCGACTAAACAGGACACTGTTTAGCTCCTGTGAATCTCTATCTTCACGGTTGTCACTCTTTTGCACACATTGCTTTTGAGCTGTCATTGGTCTCAGATATGCCAATTAAGGCAGAAACTGTGTCGCAAGGCTGTGGAACACCATCTCACAGAATCTGACCCCTGGTAGGCTCTAGGGGAAGAAGTGAACTAATTAGGTCTGACTCACGGCTGGTTTCTCTGGAGAGGCACATCATTGAAACTCGTTAAGGCTGCTTCCAGTGAAGGGACCCACCGGATAGACTCGCTCCTCTGAGCCTGCCGAAACCCAGGCTGACAATCTGTCTCAGGCAGCTAATGATGGAGACGCACATGCTGGCATGTTGGGCTTCTCCAGATTGCTTTTGGTGCTACAAATGCCAAACCATCAGAATTTAAGCAAAAGAAAAAAAAAAATTTTTTTTTGATCATCCAGATACAGCAACATAAGGATGGAGGTATAGACTGAAGATGACAGTTAGATGTGTGCCTCTTTGTCTTGCTGTTAGCTGTGGGCTTGTTGGCTGGTGTTAACCGTCTCTTCAGCCAGAGACAAATTGTGCCAGAGGGCAAGCGAGGGCAAGCAGGTGCAATTTAACTAACTGTGGCATTGCCAGACACTGTAAACCCTGGCTAGGGATGGGCATCTGAAATGGCTCCACAGTGTTGCTTGTAGCTAACGAGGCTGGATTTCTGGTTCCTTCCTGAGTTCTTGTAGGAGTTGCTGGTGTGGCAGGAACATCTCTGAAGCCACCTGCCTCGAGAGAAAAGCTCAACCTCTGGCAGAGCAGATTTTGTGTCACGTGCATAGGTGACTGACAATTCAGGGTGTGTTTTGTGGAAATAAACCCATGGCAGGTCTTTGGGTGTGGCTCTGCCGGTAGAGTGCCTGTCTAGCATGCACAGGACCCAGGGCCTGATGTTCAGCATCACATAAGCCACAGGTAACAACAGCACACACCTGAAGTCTCAGATGGAGGTGGGAGAAGCAGAAGTCCAGTATCTGTGATGCTATGCTACATGGTTCAGCAGGTAAAGGCACTGGCTCTAGGCCTGATGACCTGAGTTTAATCTTTGCAACCCAGATGATGGAAAGAGAGAACTTACTACTGCAAGCTGCCCCCCCCCCCGCCTCCAACCTTTACACAGATGCCATGGCATACACATGCTCATATACACATACATATAAATAAGTAAGTATAATTTTTAAAATTTCAAGGTCACCTTTACCTACATGGTAAGTTCAAGGCTAATGTGGGCTACATGAGGTCCTAAGAGCAAAGGTTAAATAAGTGTGCCCAGTGATAGTTCTCTTCTTAAGAGTCTTCCCCCATGCCTTCTCTTCATGCCACTGTATGCATGCCAGCCACAGTTACATACATTGCTGGTGGAGGTCTGATGAGCTCATCAACCTTGACTTCTCTCCTACCTGAGCGTACTGCAGCCAGGGTCATCATTTCACCGTAGAGTACCAATCAAGACTCCATCTCCCAACACTTGAGACCCATGGCTGTTTTCTCCCAGAGCCACGCATGGACTGAGTGCTCAGGTTCACTTCTCATTGCTCTCCCTTTCTCTCTCATTCTCCTTCCACCCCACCACCTCCACTGGCTTTCTGTACATGCTCTGCCCTCCCTTCTACCTGAAGGCTTTCCCACAAGCCACTTGATCTCCTCCCTTCCGGTGACTCTGAGGCATCTTCTGATCTCAGCTGCTCTCAGCTGTTTCAGAGGTCTTCCGTAAACTTCCATGATGCTTGCTGTGAATCCTCCTTGCCCTGTGGTGTGTGTGTGTATGTGTTTTCCTTTAATGCCTGTGTTGACTTATGGTTTTACAGGTTCTTTGATTGAGACCTGTTTTAGCTGGAAAAGAAACTAAGACAACACCTCTATTGCTTCAAGCCAAAGTACAGTTTTATGTAAGAACAGAAACTCTTTGCATATTTAGAGGGAAAGTAACGTTTTCTGATGTATATAGATAAGAGGAGTATTTTAAGTTAGGATCCTAAAATATTAATTTTTTTTTTTTTACCAGGTTCTTGTTTGTTTGGTTTGGTTTTGGGGCATTTTTTTTTTTTTTTTTTTTTTTTTTTTTTTAGAAAATGTTTTTGTGTCTGTCTTGGACTCACTTTGTAGACCAGCAAACTCACAGAGATCTGCTGCCTCCCTGAGTGCTGGAATTAAAGGCGTGTGCTATCACCACCTGGCTTTTTCCGGGTGTGTTAAGTCCCCAGGAATCTCTGGGTTCAGTGCTGGAAGGTGTTCAATTCCCAGTTGTCTTATCTGGCAAGAGACAGGAGTGTGGATATTCTGAGATTAAAATGAAAGAGATCAGTGTCAGATGTGACTCGAATAAGAGGTAACACATGAAAGGACCTTTGAGAGGCTGGAGAGATAGCTCAGTGACTAAGAGTACTGCCTGTTCTTCCAGTGCTCATGGAAAGAACAGCATGGTTCAGTTCCAAGCATCCACATGACAACTCACAACCAACCATCTCTACCTCCAGTTCCTGTAGGATCCAAAGCCCTCTTCTGGCCTCTTTGGGCACCATGAATACGTATGGTTCAGGCAAAATATCCATACACATAAAACAAAGATGAGTTTTTCAAAAGGTCCTTCGAGTCACCTGACTTGTCATCTCACCCAGGTAGAGCATCATTCCTCTTCGCCACCATGAGAAAATGGAGTGTTTGGTGCTAAGTAGAAGCAGTGACGCCATCAGTTAAAGGAGGTGTGAATATGCTTGAGTTCTCACTCAGGGGCTGAGCTGAACCCCCCCCACTCTACCCTCTCCATGATTCACCTTCTCAAGAGATCCATAAGGTAGTTTTAGGAGACATCTTTGAGGTCTATTCAGGGTCACTGCCATGTTTACTACCATAGTGTGACTCAGGGAGCGTGTGTGCGTGTGTGTGTGTGTGTGTGTGTGTGTGTGTGTGTGTGTGTGTGTGTACTTCTTATTTTTATAATGATATTTTCCTCTATATTGCTAGGAAGCATTAATAATCCAAATTGTTGTCCTGGGTATTAATGAGCAAATGTGAATATGAAGATGGTATCCTAATTTGGGGTGAAGGGATGATAATATTATCTTAATATCCTTCCCTTCCTTGTTTTCTCAAATCCAATCTACTCATGCTTTCATCTACAACCGGAATCTACTGGTCAGAGGTTTTTGGAAGGCTGACCATGGAGAGAAGAGGGGCTAAGGAAAACACAGTGGGGAAGGGTCTACTTTCCTTCTTCTCTGCCACACCCTTTTATTTAGGAACAAGCCCTACCATGACACTCACCAGAGATTACAAACTAGTGTTTTACAGGCCAAACTAGTCCTTTACATGTGTTTTATTTGGCTGGTAGTATATTACTTTTATTAACTTTCATGGGGCTTGGGATTGAACCTATGTGCTCTGTTGCTGAGCCATGGTCCCAGCCCCAACAATCTTGTACCTTCTGTGCTGGATAGTTTTATTTATTTTTAAAGATTTTTTCCCCCATGTGGTGGTGGTGCACACTTTTAATCCCAGTACTTGTGGGGTAGAGACATGTTAATCTGTAAATTCAAGGCCAGCCTGGTTTATAGATTGAGTTCCAGGAACTAGGGCTACACAGAGAAACCCTGTCTCAAAAAAAAAAAAAAATATATATATATATAATATCTTATAATATGTATAATAAATTATATATATATATATATATATATAATGTGTGTGTTTGTGTGTGTGACTACAGATACACATGGAGGTCAGAAGAAGATATCAGATAAGATGCTGGGGTTAGACTTAGAGGTTGTTGTGAGCTGTCTAATAGGGCTTCTGGGAACTGAATTCCAGCCCTCTGTAAGAGCAATATGTACTGTGGATTACTGAGCCACCTCTCCAGCTCTGCAGGTTAGTTTTTTTTTTTTTTATTCATGTTAGTTTTAATAGACCATTTAATATAACAGTTATCTCAGAAGAGAGTCCTTTCTTTCTCTTTCTTTCTTTCTTTCTTTCTTTCTTTCTTTCTTTCTTTCTTTCTTTCTTTCTTTCTTTCCAAGACAGGGTTTTTCTGTTTTAGCCCTGGATGTCGTGGAACTCACCCTGCAGACCAGGCCTGGAACTCAGAGATCTGCCTGCCTCTGCCTCCCAAGTGTGGAAGTTAAAGGCATGCGCTGAGCCACCAAACGGCTTGAAAAATCAAGTTTTAATGAAGAATTATGCAGATCAGTTGGCCTACTGGCACCTGTACAAAGGCTTTTCTTCCGCTGTTAATTGATGTAGAAAGGCCCTGCCCCACTGCGTCCTTGGGCGGGGCCCAGAACTGTCTAAGAGTAAAGAAAGCTGGCTGAATATTAGCAAGCAGACAGAGTGGGCGCACTTGATTCTTTCTGCTCTTGGCTGTGGGTGTGCTGTAAGCAGCTGTCTCTCAAGCTCCTGCCCCTGTAACTTCCCTGCAGGGATGAAGTATAATCTGGAATTGTGAGCCAAATCAACCCTTTTCTTCCCAGCGCTGCTTTCGTCAGGTGGTTTTTACCACAGCAACAGAAATGAAACCCGAGCACCTCCTAATTACATAGTCCTGAATTCTCTACCACAAACAGCACGGCTGTAAACACTGTCCCTGCCAGACAGGAGGAGGTTCTTCTAGGAGAATGCCGTTAAGAGTTAAAAGGCAGCTTTTGCACGCTGCCCAGGGACTGATCCACGCGGCCTTGTTCTTGATTCCTGGTGTGACTTAAAGGGAAACTTACACAATGTCAAGAGCCTTTAATGTCCTGCAGATGAAGGAAGAGGATGTCCTCAAATTCCTTGCCGCACGAACCCACTTAGGTGGCACCAACCTTGACTTTCAGATGGAGCAATATATCTACAAAAGGAAGAGTGATGGTATCTACATCATAAATCTGAAGAGGACCTGGCAGAAGCTGTTGCTTGCTGCTCGAGCTATTGTTGCCATTGATGTCAGCGTCATCTCCTCCAGGAACACTGGCCAGCGAGCTGGGCTGAAGTTTGCTGCTGCCACTGGAGCCATTCCAATTGCCGGCTGCTTCACACCTGGGACCTTCACTAACCAGATCCAAGCAGCCTTCAGGGAGCCACAGCTTCTAGTGGTGACTGACCCCAGGGCTGACCACCAGCCCCTCACAGAGGCCGCCCACATCAACCTGCCCGCCATGGCTCTGTGCAACGCCAATTCTCCTCTGTGCTATGTGGACATCGCCATCTCATACAACAAGGGAGCTCACTCACTGGGTCTGATTGGTGGACGCTGGCCCGGGGAATACTCCACATGCATGGCACTATCTCCTGTGAGCACTGGTGGGAGGTTATGCCGGCTCTTGACTTTAGAGAGACCCAGGGGAAATTGAGAAGGAAGAGCAGCAGCCTGCTGCTGAGAAGGCCGTGACCAAGAGGAATTCCAGGGTGAAGAGACTGTGTCAGCTCCCGAGTTCACTGCTGCTCAGCTCAAGGTGGCAGACTGGTCTGAGGGTGTGCGGGTGCCCTCTGTGCCCATCCAGAGGTTCCCTACTGAAGACTGGAGTGCCCAGCCGGCCACTGAGGACCGGTCAGCTGCTCCCACAGCGCAGGCCACCAAGTGTGTTAGAGCCACCACTGAACGGTCCTGAGCTCTGCAGAGACTTGAGCAAAGGGGAAAAAGGTGGAAGGAAAATAAAGTTTCTAAAACCTGAAAACAAAACAAAACAAAAAAAACAGAGAGAGAGTAAAAAAGCAGCAGAACCACAACTCAGATAATCCTTGGTATTGTTCAAGGCATAACATTTGCTCAACACTGGGGTAGGAAGTTTTACTTTTTGGTATTTATAGATATCTTATTATTTTATTTTAAAATTACTAATGGTGCTGAGGATGCTTTCACAGGATTATTATTCTGAAAATGGTCTCATGGAAGTGTTCCATTATGTAGCCCAAATGGCATTCAGCTAGCTATTCTCCTGCCTCAGCCCCCCCCCCCGACCCCCGGTGCTGAGATTATACATGTATACCACTGTGCCCAGCTATGTCTAGTTTATTGGGGGGGGTGTCTCCTGGTTGTTGTTGTTGTTAGAGATGTTATTTTATTTTTAATTACATGTATTTGTGTATGTGTGTGTGGGTGTGGTGTGTGCTTGCACGAGTGTAGGCATCTGAGGAACCAGAAAAAGAGTACTGGATCCTCCTGGATCTGGAGTTACAGGTGGCTCCATAAGCTGCCTGGTGTGGATACTGAGAACCGAACTGGGGTCCTCTCCAAGAGCACTGCCTACTCTTAACCAGCTAGCCATCTCTCCAGCCCCCTTCTGTTGGTTTCTGATTATTGGTAATTGGTAGATGTTCCTTGCACATTCTGGATACAAAGTCATCGCTGGTTGTAGATGTTGCAAGTGACTATTAGTCCATCACTTGTCTGTTAACTTCATGATGTCATGAACAACAAAATCAGCATTTTTTTCAAAGTTTATACGCTCCAAGCTCACAGCCACCTGTAACTTCAGCCTCCGGGGAGTCACACCTTCTTCCGACCACCTCAGGCACTGGCACTGGCTTTCTACAATTGAAGTCACAGAAATAGCCCATTTTCTTCTGTTAGTTTTTACTTTATCTTTTATGTAAAGTCTTTTGATCATTTAACCTTTCAAGAGAAAAGACCAGGCTGGGCTTGACCTCTCTTTGTCTCTGCCTCCAAAGAGTTTGGATCAAAGGCCTGTACGCTATGCCTGGCAATTCTTTTGTTTTTCATTTTTAAACCAAAGAACCTAAGCTAGGCCCCTCAAACTAGACATATATGGCTTTGAACTCTCATGGTCCTCCTGCTTCCCCCCCCCCCCCCCGGTACCTTTGTTTCTCAGTTTTAAATGTTTGAACAGAACCTCAGTGTCTCAGTAGAGCCCTCGAAGATCAACACACTTCAACATTCCCTGTCACGTGTCCAAATAGTCTAAAAGAAAACAAAACAGCCCAAGAGAGCCTCTCGCTTGGAGGTTCTCAACCTTCCTCATGGGTGTGACCCCCAACTATAAAATTACTTTTGTTGCTACTCCATACCTGTAATTTTGCTACTGTTATGAATCATAATGTAAATATCTGTGCTCTCTGATGGTCTTAGGTGACACCCATGAAAGGATCATTTAACCCCCCAATGGGGTCTCGACCCACAGGTTGAGAACCTGTGCTCTAGGTCAAACCCAAAGCAAAACCCAACGTCTTGGAGAAATTTTCCTGGGTCAGATTTTCATGAGTGTCAGAGAAACAAAGTCCAAATACCTGTTTCCCTGCCTTGCCAAGTAGAGGTAAAAGGCCACTGATGTCGGCAGAAGTGGGAAGACATGAGAAGTCCCTCGGGTACAGAGATTCCCTCCAGCAGTTTCCGGAGCCATGCAATCTTTCCTCTCCTTCCAGCATAGACTCGGCCTAAGTCACTAACCCCTGTAATGTATCTCTTCTCTCAGTCAGGCTCACTGACATTGTTAGTGGCTGTTAAGGTCAAAGATTGGGTCATGGCATCCCTAACAAGCCTTGCTCCAGGTCCTCAACATGCCAGCTAAAAAGACAGTGTAGCCACACTGGGAGGAAGAAGGAAGAGGTCTGGACACCCCTGCTCCCCAGCTTTCTCTTCAGCTTCCTGCGCAAGGCTTAAAGAGAGGGTAGGAGGTGTGGGTAGCTAAGCCATCTTCAGTCGAGGAAGGTGTGGTTTCCCCAACATCAGCCTATCACTGTCTTGGTTTTGGTCTCTCTTGTATGATAGTCTGACAACGTGAATAAACTTCATGTAGACCCTTCCTGCTGGATGAGTGTCTCCTCTGGCTAGAAGCAGGCTCCAGCCCTTTCCTCCTCCTATTGTGAGATACCTGGGGGTGTGGGCTTTAATTTCTTGGGGACCATTCAATAGCTAAAGGAAGTGGCACAAGTGTATCTATTTAGAATATCTTCACTCTAACCCAGTGTTTCTTCTCCTTCGTCTCTTTTAGAAGTTCTCCTAACTATTCAAAGATGTATAGCTCTCCAGTTCAATTGTAGAATCAACCTGCACAAGCATTTTGCTGGCCCATGCACTGTGGTACCCATAATTCCAATACTTGAAAGATAGAGGCAGGAGGATCAGGAGTCCCTACACTATCTCTGGCTACACAAAGTGAGTTCTAGGCCAGCCTGTGTTACATTGAAACTACATCTTCAAAAACTAAAACAAACCCCTCCCCCAAAATAAAAACCCAGCAAACCAACAGCAAACAAAACAAAACAAAAAACCCCAAAGAGCTTTGAAATTTCACTTATATATAATTTCAGGAGAAAGTATATCTTTACCAAATGTTAAAATTCAAACAGGGCTAAGGCCACGCCCACCAGCATGGCCTGTTTCTTCTATAAAGGGCTACTGCTCCCAGACTAGACTCCCCAGGGGCTGGGATTCCTGGAGAAGGGCAGGTGCCATTCTCACTTCCCCTAGGAAGTCGAGCTGCATCCATTCTGCTTCCCCGCTTTCTCAGAGTCCCACACTCCTTCCTGGAAATACAAGACACTCCTTCCTCTGCTGCCTCCACGGTAGAAGAGACCCCTCCTCCCTCCTCTGAAACAGATCAAAAGGGACCCCCATTCAGCTTCATAGGCCCAAACTCTCCACAGGGATCCCACCACGTTGCTGTCTGTCTGTCTGTCCATGGCGTTAAAAGTCTTTTCATAAATCTCTTAACCCAAAGGGCAATGTGCCTCAGTGTTTTCCCTTGAACTCCAAACCCAAAACCTTCCTCCAACGATTCTGTTAATGAAATCTTCTAAGACCCCAGTTTGGCTGCTATTTCTAAATGTTTTTCACAATGCACTCTTGATTAGGTAAAACTTGAGCTATTGTGGCTGTTGCTAGGACGTGAGTTGGATTTTAATCTCTGTTCGTGTGCAGGACCCCTTCTGATTTATGATGGTTCTAGCTCATTTGGTTTATGAGCCTGTAATTCCTCTGTGCGAACCACTTCATCTTTGTCTCACGCTCCCCAAGAGGGCTCTGGGAGAGCCACGGTTTCCAGACGATTCTATTTGCTTGCCCACGTCTTTCCGTTATGAGTTGTGCTCCTTCCTAGCACTCGCTATGTTGATGCCCTCATGTCCCTTACCTGCACCAGGGCTGGGTGCTCTCCCCTGGAGAAATCAAAAGGAGAATTAGACAGGCAAAGGGTGCTATGTCAGAAGCAAACTCGTTCGTGTCTTTCCGTGATGTCAGAGTCACTAAGAAACAATAAACTCACAAGGCATATTGCTTCTTCTCCTGGCTGTTTGTCAAGAAGCCCTGATACCATAAATAGATGGCCGAGGCAGCAGGTTCTTCTGTTCCAATCTTAACTCCTAATAATAACTGTCAGAGCACACATTACAATTCACACAGGAAACTATATCTGTGGGTTACCGAAAGGCTACAAAGGCTGAAAGCGGCCGCAGCAGAGCTCAAGGAGTTTCAAAGAAACCAACTGAGAGGCAGAGAGGACCAACAGGGATGTCAACAAGTCTCTGCAGGGGATCAGAAGAATGATTCAGCGGCTGCTGCTTCAAGTTGCCTGATCAGAGCTCAGTGGGGCCTCAGAAATGTGAGGTGTGGGCCCGCAGAGGGCAGGATCCTGACCACTGTGCAAAGGAAGGCATTTCAGGGAAGAAGAGTCACCAGCAGGGAACCAAGCTGAAAACCTTGGGACAGGCAGGCACACCAGGGCCTGAGCCACCCCAGCTCCTAGCCCTTCCCTCCGAATCTTCCTTTTTCCCCTTTGACTTTTAACATTCTCTTCTGTGTTTTCAAAACTTATCTGTGAGAATTGATGGGGGTGTTTCTGGAGTTAAACTTTCATAAACAGACAGGCAGGCAGACCCTTAACTGGGAGGGTCAGGTATGGGAGAGGCATCTGAGAGCAGGGCCGAAACAGAAAAGAGGCTCTGTCTGAAGGGAAGGTCTCCTCATACCAGCAGTACCACAGGAGGGCCCGCCCTGACTTCCTGCACCTCAGAGGAGACCTGAGGGTATCTCAGGTAGAAGATGCTATGCATCCAGAAATCTCTTCTCCACGATGGTTGGAATAATCTACACGTCAGGTCACTGGCTTCTCCGCTTACCACTCTACTAATGCTCTCACCAGTGGTACCTAGGATGATGTCAGTGTTTCCCACTGCCAATAACAGAAGCCGGGCCACCGAAGCGGCCGTCACCTGCCACCTTTGCACTCTGCTCCAGAGAGGCTGGCTTCCTTTGCTCTTTGCACACAGAGCTGACACCTGGCTCATTTCCTCTCTGCCAAGAACTCCTCCCTTCAAATCTTTACTCCTTTTCCATTTTTATGCTTTCATTATATTAAATACATATTAATGACTCATATGATATATAAACAGACGAAGGTGTTATATATATGAATACATACTAATGAGTTATATACAATATATAAAACATATGCTAATAGGTTATATATACATATGTATATAAATAGCTATTGATGAGTTTTATGTACATACACATACATATAAACATATCCAAATGGATTGTATACAATATATATTAATGGGTTGTACATAAATATACACTAATGGGTTACATATGTACATACAAATATATACTGATGGGTTTACATATGTGTAAACATAGACTAGTGAGTTA